AAGCCGAAGGATGTCCCGAAGACCGCATTTCACTCGAGATATGGTCATTTCGAGTACTTGGTGATTTCGTTCGGTCTCACCAATGCACCCGCTGTGTTCATGGATTACATGAACAAGATTTTCCAACCGTACCTGGATCAGTTTGTGATCGTCTTCATTGACGATATTTTGATTTACTCCAAGACGGAGGAGGAGCATGTGGGGCATTTGAGAACTGTTCTGCAAGTGCTAAAGGAGAAGAAGCTGTATGCGAAGCCTTCCAAATGTGAGTTCTGGCTCAAGTCTGTGAAGTTCCTTGGGCATGTTATTTCTGCTGATGGAGTTGCAGTGGATCCGAACAAGATTGAGGCTGTGCTGGATTGGGAGAGACCCAAGACAGTTACGGAAGTGAGGAGCTTTCTGGGTTTGGCAGGTTACTATCGGAGGTTCATCAAGGGATTCTCCACCATGGTTTTGCCATCGACTCGCCTTACTCAGAAGGAGACTCCATTTGTGTGGACTCACGAGTGTGAGGTCTGTTTTCAGGAGTTGAAGGAGAGACTGACTACTGCTCTTGTGTTGGTCCTTCCTGATCCTGCGCTTGAGATTGAGCTTTACACCGACGCCTCCGGGAAGGGGCTAGGTTGTGTGTTGATGCAATTGGGCAAAGTGATCGCCTATGCTTCGAGGCAGTTGAAACCTCATGAGGAGAACTACCCTACTCATGACTTGGAGTTGGCTGCAATTGTGTTTGCTTTCAAGATTTGGAGGAATTATCTTTTTGGTTTGAGGTTTGTGGTGTTCAGTGACCACAAGAGTTTGAAGTACATGTTCGACCAGAAGGAGTTGAACATGAGGCAGAAGAGATGGATGGAGTTCATAAAGGACTACGACTTCGAGCTAAGGTATCATCCTGGCAAGGCCAATGTGGTAGCTGATGCTTTGAGTCGGAAATCCAGTAGTTCATCCAGTTTGTTACTTGGTAACTTCGACGTGGTTGAGAAGTTCTGCAACTTGGCACTGACCGCTCCGTGTGAGAGTGTACTTCTCGAGTTGGAAGCATCAGATGTTGTAAACGAGCTGCTAGAAAAGATTAAAGAGGCACAAGTTCAGAGAGAGTGTCTGGATTATGTGAAGAACCAAGATGGTGTGTCTTGGAATGATGATGGATTGCTTTTGTTTCAGCAGAGGATTGTGGTTCCTCGAGGCCCATTGACAGAGGAGGTTATGGAAGAAGGCCATAAGGGTCAGTTTTCTATCCACCCTGGTGCTACTAAGATGTATCAAGACTTGAAGAAGAACTTCTGGTGGCCGGGCATGAAGAAAGATGTTGCTATCTTTGTGTCCAAGTGTTTGGTTTGCCAGAATGTGAAGATTGAGCATCAGAGACCGTCTGGTGAACTTCAACCTCTTGAAGTACCACAGTGGAAGTGGGAAGGTATTTCCATGGACTTCGTGGTGGGATTGCCGAAGACTCAGGCGGGTTGTGACTCTATTTGGGTCGTTGTGGACAGTGAAGGTGAGCTTCACTACAGAGCAGTTGGCCAAGCTTTATGTCCGCGAGATTGTGAGGCTTCACGGGGCGCCCGAGAGTATCATTAGTGATAGGGACCCGAAGTTCACATCTCGGTTCTGGAAGGCGCTGCAGGAGGCTTTTGGTACGCAGTTGAGATTGAGTATCGCCTATCACCCTCAGACTGATGGACACTCTGAGAGGACCATCCAGACCTTGGAGGACATGTTGCGAGCTTGCACGTTGGAGCAGGGCTCGGCGTGGGATAGGTACCTTCCGTTGGTTGAGTTTTCTTACAACAACAGCTTTCATGCTAGCCTGGGCATGGCGCCATACGAAGCACTGTATGGTAGGAGGTGTCGAACTCCTACTTGTTGGTCTGAGGTTGGGGACAAGGAGCTTTTTGGCTTGGATTTTGTCCAAGATACCACCTTGCAGATCCAGATGATCCGTGAAAAGTTGAAGCAGGCGCAGAATCGCCAGAAGAGCTTTTATGATATCAAGCATCGTCCGCTGGAGTTCAGTGAGGGTGAGCACGTGTTTGTGAGACTTTCACCTGTCACCGGTGTAGGTCGGGCACTCGGAGTGAGGAAGCTGAGCCCGCGATATATTGGGCTATACCAGATCCTTGGTAGAGTAAGACCTGTTGCCTACCGGCTTGCCTTGCCTCCGAACCTGGCTAACATCCACGACGTGTTTCACATGTCTCAGCTTCAGAAGTACATAGCAGATCCTTCGCACGTGGTGCAACCGGATGATGTGGAGGTTCGGGAGAACCTGAAGACTCCCGTCGGACCACTCATAATTCACGATCGTGGCGAGAAGCAGCTGAGGAGCAAGATCATTCTGATGGTCAAGGTGCAGTGGACCGGAAGAATTCCTGAGGAGTGTACTTGGGAGCGTGAGGACGAGCTTCTCCGGCAGTACCCCAAGTTTCGACCAGGTATGTTTCTGATTTTGAGGTCAAAATCCTAAAAAGGTGGGGTGAATGTAAGAACTCGCACCGTTAATTAAGATATTTAATTAATTAATTATGCAAAAATAGGAAATGAGTCCATAATTGACCCTAATAATTATTTATGAGGCTTAATAATCATAATAAGTGATTAAGAATGCTGAAAGTCGCTTTTCGGAAGAAAAGTGCAGATACTGGTTCTGCTAGTCGCTATAAATGCGTGCTGAAAAAGTATCCCGGAAAATTAAAGTAAGTGCATGATAATTACTAGAATAATATGTAGGACTTGTAAAACGAGTTTCAAGTCCAAATAATGAGAACTGGTGCTAGAAACCGGTATTGGCTTTGAAAAGCGCGTACCGGAAAGGTGCTCAGAAAAATATAAGAAAAATATGATAAATCTTAGAAAATTATGTAGTTTCATAATCCAAAGTTTGGGATTAAAATGCTAAGCGTAGCAATTAAAATTAATACTGTGAGTTAATGCTTGTGTGGCCTATATATACTCTTATTATGGGCACAAAATCCTAGACCCCTTTCTTTCCTTCGTGAGTGAGCTGATCAATTTGTGAGGGAGCATTGTTCCATTGCTTTCTTCTCTTGTTCTTGACCAAAACTCAACCTTGAACCCATTTTCTTGGTTGTTTCATCATCCTAAACACTTGGTGTGAGTGAGAGGCATCATTGTGGGTGAGTGAGGGTGTTCTTCAGTGGTACTCCAGCTGCTGAGTGTGAGGTTTTGAGGCTGACTTTGGTTAGTTTGTTTGTGAGAGCTTGGAGTTGGTACTTTGAGCTTCAAGGTGTCATCTTTGGGGAGAAAGAACCAACGTTTGTGAAGCCATTTTCGTGCATCTTCCTTTAGTCAGACTTGAGGGGCTATGTTGAGCTCCAAGAGCATCTCCATTCTGAGTTTTGAGCCTTTGTATGTTGTACCAACCTTTAACTTGAGTTTTAAGGCTTAAAAACGGTACCTTGATGTATCTAATGACTAAAAGATGATAACTTGTTGTTGGGTAATGTTGAACACGCCTAGAAATGCATGATTAGGTGTTTAAAATCGGTAAAAAGGGAACATTTAAGGGATATCTTCACGAAAATGCAGAAACCGCATTCTGTCGTGAAATATCCGGATATTTGTCGAACAGATATCCGGATATTGGATATCCGGATATGTGGTTTTGGGATATCCGGATATTGGATATCCAGATATGTGAATCTGTATATCCGGATATTGCATATCCGGATATTGCATATCCGGATATAGACAGTGAGATATCCGGATATTCTGGGATTTCGCAGAACAGTAGCTGTGCTGTGTGTACAGTAGGCTATTGGGGGTTTGTGGACCATAGTTTGATGAAGTTGAACTTCTGTATTTTATGGACTAAGCCAGAATCACGGGATTAAGGGCTTGTGACTTTGTTAGAAGCTTTAAGACTTGAAAACGTAATGAAAAGACGTTGTCTTTAATTTGTATGCATGTGGTACATGTTTATTGATTTATATTTGGTCCATATCAGATTGTGATCTGCTGTGATTGGACTTTGAGCTTGTGGCATTGGATAGCTAGCTTAGAGGTAAGCTTTCGTGTCCTCGGTTTAGCCATGTTGTGGTTCCACCATGTCCCATGGGGATATGGTATATGCATGCTGTGTTACATGCTTTTGATGTTTTGGAAATGTTGTTGAGCTATTTTATATGTTAGTGCCTTGTTGATATGCATGGAGGTGTTCCACCTATACGGTAAGCCTGAGTATGTAGAACATATAAGAGGGTGAGGCTGTGGGTGAGGTGCAAGCGGTGTTCCTTGTACTACATGTAGGGAATAGACGTATTCCTACATTTCTCTGGCCAGTAGATAGTGATTGCACACATGCCATAGATATCTGTTGCACTACATAGTTTTGGAACTGATAATGATATAAATGCTTTTGAACTTATATTGCACATATAAGTGAGCTTGGGGTGGAAGATCCTTGAGGACCCCTTGTCTTACTGAGATTTCTAGTTTAGAGATCTCACCCCACGTTTGGGAAATGCTTATTTCAGGGTCAGGTAATGTTGAGACCTCAGGCGGCAGGAGGCCGGAGCTGAGTTAGATTTGCTGTTATTTATGCTGACATGTTGGATGCTAGATATGCATGCTGCTTATGCTTATAGCTTCGGTTTATGTTTATGGAGTTTTATGTTGAGACTTGTTGTTTACTATGTTTATTTGGTGAGCATGGGGATTGTTCATGACACATAGTATTGTTATGTCTTGATTATGTCTTGAGTCTTTTGGAGTTGTAATAATGTATCAGGATATTGTCCGGATTACGTGATGTAATGCTGTGATTTAGATACTCACTTTATTTATATATTGAGGTATTTCAGTAGATGTCTTATTGCAATTTACATACAGGCGATATTTTATGAAATTGATTAAGTAATCAAGTTGGTAATTGATAATGACGTCATAATTGAAAAGAAAAAGAATATTTCGCATTTTTAATTAAGCACCGCTTAATACGATGTAATGTTAATATTTCGAGTATACACGGGGTGTTACAGTTTTCAAGCAAGGAGACCAAGGTTGAAGAAGGCAGCAGCTGACCCTTCAGCCACTCACGTAGGAGGCACAAAATAACCTAGGATCATGCGCCAAAGTTGTATTTATAGCCGGTTTAAACTTAATCGCACTGTATTAACCTTAATTGCTACGCTTAGCATTTTAATCCCAAACTCAGGATTCTTAACCTACTCAATTTTACAAGAATTAACATATTTTTCTTATATTTTTCGGAGCACCTTTTCGGTAGGCGTTTTTCATAGCCAGTATCAGTTTCTGGCACTAGTTCTCAATGTTTTAACTTGAAACTTGTTTTACAAGTCCTATATATTATTCTAGAAATTATCATGCACTTATTATAATTTTCCGGGATACTTTTTCGATACACATTTATACCGACTAGCAGAACCAGTATCTGCGCTTTTCGTCCGAAAAGCGACTTGCAGCATTATTAACCACTTTTTATAATTATGTAAGCCTCATAATAATTATTAGGGTCAATTATGGAATTATTTCCTAATTTCACATAATTAATTAATTAACTTCCTTAATTAACGGTGCGAGTTCTTACATCAAACATCGTTTTGTATATGTGGAACACCCACAGGCAAATGGACAAGCTGAAGCAGTAAATAAGGTAATCGTGAATGGTCTTAAAAAGCGAATGTTCGATGCTGAAGAAAGCTGGGTTCATCAGCTCTACTTTTTCCTTTGGGGATACAGAACGATTACCCAAACTACAACAGGGGAAACTCCTTTCCGACTAACTTATGGTTACGAGGCCATGATTCTTGAGGAAATCGAAGAACCTTCTTGGAGGCAGATGAAAAGTAGCGAGTAATGCGAGTAGTAGAATTGTAAGCTACTCACTATCGAGTTATACCTTGCTGACGAAGCTCGGGTTGCAGCTCACTGCCGGGATATGATGGCCAATCGACGGATGACAGTCAGATACAACAAGAAAGTGAGGCCAAGCATTTTCGAGAAAAATGATTTGGTACTCAGGAGAGAGGATATTGGAAATAAAAATGCCAAAGATGGAAAGTTAGCTGCAAACTGGGAAAGACCATATCGAGTTAGAGAAAAGCTCGGAAAAGGCGCCTATATCCTAGATTTGATATCAATAATTGAGGAATTTTTTCTTTTTCAAAGATTTGTTCTTGTCTATTTTCGATGCATCAATATGAAATCTGAGATACAAGTACAATTTGTCATAGTGACTCTAATCAAGTCAAAATGCTCCTTATTTCGGTCTAAGAACCAAAGAGGACAGGTGACAGTGTTGTCTTTATCTTAGATAAAGTTGAATTACCAAATTCAAATTATAGCAAATGGTTAAGTCAATAAAGATGAGATCCATTTTTAATACAGGCTTACCAAAATGGTAAAGTCAAAATAAACATGCGTCATGGAAAGTGACATAAAGCAAAATCCGTATAAATGCTTTGACCTCGGCCAGGTCAATAATATAGAACTCGTAAGATGCACGGGTTTAGTAAAATTGTCTGAGTTGTACAAACCACCATCGAATATGGGGTAAAGCTCGGAAAAACACACAACTCGGAAAAGACCGGGTTAAAAAAGTAAAATCAACCCGAGTTGCAACTCGAATACAATGTGGAGGGGCAACTCGGATAAGGTTTGAAGTATGAGAAATTTGACTAAGTTATAAACTTAGGTACTAAAGGCAGAAGCCCACTTGTAAGAAAGGCAAAGACGAAGCCAAACTTTTAGCAAAAGCGAATACGGCTCCAGGAAAACATGCCGGATTATGAAAATCCAAATACCTAGATAAATGCATCTATGGTGAATTCGGGCAGTAAGAAATGCAAGACGTCACATCGTAGAGCAGAATATACGAAGATGATAAAAGGCTCAAAGGGCAAATTAAAAACCGGAGTAAAACTGGCAATATTCAAAATGAGTCGACGAGGGGCTCGAAGGCCCCAAATAGAAATTACAAAATAAAACCGGCATCCCGGCCCTTCATGCAGCAGGAGGAGTAGGCAGAGTTCTAACTTCTTCACCTCCCTCTACCATGGTCTCTTCCCCGCCTTCTGTCTGAGTAACAGAATCACAAGGTGGAGATTATGGAGGGGGACCTACAATTAAGCCCTTGCTGACATATGCCTTGGGATGAATTCCGGTTGTATTAAATGCTAAATCCGGGTTAACAACCTTCAGTTGATTAAGAGCATTGTTGAAAGAACCCACCACTGATTTCTCGAGTTCAACTCGATAGTTCTCGGCGGTGGACTTAGCTTCCTTCAACTCCGCCTCAACCTTTTCGAACATAATCTTGAAATCAGTCAGCGACTTGTGATTAAAGGTATGTAAGGATTGAAGTTCGTTATGCTCTCTTTGCAGGTTGGTGAAACTATTTTTAGTCTCCACCAATGTCAAAACAACTTGGTCTTTTTCTTCCTTCACCTGCGATAAGTCAGCAATGGCCTTGGCTTTTTTACCCTGGCATGTACTCAGGTCATTAAGGGCACGAAGATAATTCTCCTTCAAAGACAGGAGTGGCTTAACCATGGTGGAAATTTTCATACAACCCAACTCCATATCCTCCAATTCCCTCACTTGCGTTGAGGTGAAAGGGGAAGAGTTAAAGAAAATCTCAGGGGGGGCAAACGGCATCCCGAAGAGTACCAGTTATTCCGGATTTCCATAATGCATGCTTGGAAATCCCGGAGGACGGTGGGGGTATAGCTGACTTCAACACGCCCTGGGAAGAAATAGGAGCACGATTCTCAGGATTCCCCTTGGACTTGTCACCAGGGACTCCTTTGTTCTTCTCGTCAGTAAGGGAAGGAGGTTTCTTGGATCTTTCATCGGGGGCCTTTCTTTTCTGTCCTGTCGGGTCTATAGCAGCGCCCTTGGCACCCCGGTTTAAAATTGAGAGCCAGCTAGGCTGGTCATCCTTTTCACCTTGCTGCTCGCCTGGTTGTCGATCTGCCATATCAGGAACTACAAAACAAAGCGACAATCGGGTCATAAAATGCAATATACAAGCACTATAAATGTAGAAATAAACATACTTAATTCGGCATCCAGCTCCTCTTGAGACTTATAAATGAGGGATGCAACACTGGCATGTTTGTGTAACTGCAAATATGTACCAATGGTAATGGCACTATTGATGTTGGCAGGGCTTAACTCCGTCTCGTTGAAACGGTAGCTCGAAGGAGGAAATTGAAAATGGTCAGATGACCAACAAAGGGAAACTTTCCTTCCACGTCTTCGGTACCACGGTTATGGAGAAACTATACCTCTTTACCGGGATGGGCAGACACTTTAAAGAACTGGTCTTTAAAGTTTTTAAAAGACTCAGTATAAACACAAAAAAGTCTACGACCCGGCACACCTCAGATGGTAACCCAACCCTTTCTTTCCGGCGGTTCACGACCGGTTCGACACGAAACAACTTGGAAGAAGTAAAAAAAGACACGAACAAAAGGCTGAAGAGCAAGGTATGCACAAAAATGCTCAAATGCCTTAACAAAACCCCAGCCATTGGGATGAAGTTGGGTGGGTGATTGATAACTCATATTTTATTACACTTATTTGTTACTCTTGATTAGTATTTTTAGGATTTATTTGAATAAAATAATGATGTTTTGAGTTATTTTACATTTTTAGTTTTTGATTGGGTTTAATTTATTTTCGTCAGAATTTTTCAGCTTTACGTTACTTCTGTATTTTGGCCATATCTTGGTCCACAGTTGTCGGATTGACTCCGTTCTTGTTGGGTTTTTCAGATAACACAAAGGGCTACAATTCTTATGAATAGCTCGAAGCCCAATTCGGATTGGAAGCTAGTCGATTTCGTGCGCCAAGTCGGACACGTTTTGCTGAAGTTTTATTTTATTTCGTATTTTAGACATATGGGCCGGTCAAAACTGAACCCTAACCCGCTTTGGGTAGGGGTATATGACGGCAGAGTAGGAAACATTGTAGTCATTCTGTAATTTTCAAAATTGAGGATCAAAGTATTTTCTCTGAAGCGTTCTTCATCTTTTTCTTCTTCTTCTTTTTTTTATTTCAAACATGTTTACCTTAGCCATGCGAGGCTAAGAACCTTTTAATCAACCTAAGGGTAATGGATTCCATGGATTAGTCTTGAGGATCTGCGTTTATTTCAAATCAGTTTTGTTTCCCTTCCCAACTCAGATTGATATCGTGCGATCGTGGATATTCAATCTGAGGTTCGCGATTGCGATTATGGAAAGGGATTAATCATCAGATTTGATGATTAGGTTGATTGACCCTATGACCTTAAATCAAGCGGGCTGATACTCTGCGATTGTATGAGTAGAAACATCGTCTTTGATCAAATGCTAAGCGATCGCTTAGAGAGGGTTGTCAATTGGAAATAAGGATTCTGATCCGATTGACAAATCAATCACGATTCTGATATCTTCTTATCCGAGGAAAGATGTCCATGGAACCCAAACCTTAGGTTGGTTATTTTTAATTACGAATTTTGATTCCAAATTTATATTCTGCCTTTTTAATTATTGAATCAAAATCCAAAACCCCCCTTTTAATTTTCTGTTCTCATAAGCGATTTTAACCAAAACAATTTCCTTGAGAGACGACTCAGGGTTTCCACTTTACTGCAAATTTTCTGAACCCTGATTAAAAAATAATTTTTAATTTGCGCGAGTTCGACAGCTCGTGTCAGTGATATATGGAGATGGTTGAGAATTTCCATTTGAAACTCGGTCAAAGAAAACCGAATTCCAAGTTGAGTCACAACATCACGATAAAAGAAAAAGAAACAAGGATTTTCTTCTGCTCCCCCAGAGCAAACCGACTCATCTTCTTGGGGAGGGCCTATATCGTAATTAGTCAATTGCCCAACGGGAAGGCCGGCAACATCATCCGAGCTCATCTCGGATGTGGTGTTCAAAACCTCGTAGGTTACCCAGGGAAACCGGGATACTAGAGAGGCAGAAGGAGACTCAAAACAGGACTTAGCCGAACCCGACTCATCTACAGCTTCTTGAGGGGAAGATGCCATAAATACCTAAAACAAGGAAAAAGCTGAATCAGATGAGAATGGGAATACCTGAATTAAAAATGCTATAAGATGAATCACTAGAAGATGACGAAGTCGGCAAGTCAGAGATCATAATGGGATCATTTGCTTCACCAGATGCCGAAGTAGATTCCATAATATCTCAATGTCAGCAACTAGCCAATGTGGACTCGGCCAACGAGTCGCATCCTTGCTCGACAAGCTTAGAACTCAGGTAGACACAAGAATAACAGGGGACACTCCTTGGGATAGGGGAAGAATGCGGGAAAGCTCGGATGTTGGAACGCGACCCCAGAGGAATCATGGGCTGGCAAGAAAGCTCAGCCCCGGGTTGGGGAAACCGAAGCAACGCACGTCTGTTTCTGGTAAGATGACCCTAGTCCGGTTAGATGATCCTCTACCTCGGGGGTGCCCTAACTCCCTATTGGACATCCCGGCCTTTCTCCGAGATCTACCACCACGGCAACCACAAAACATGGCTTTTCGTTCCTCTTTCTCAGTCCTTGGGATCCCCTAGAGCCAGAAACGGGCACCAGGAGGTATCTTTTTGAAAAAATCAGAATCCTCCTCCTTCTCCCCCTTACTACACAAAGCTGAAGAAAGAGGGTTTCCCCCCCTCATTTGGTTAAAAAACTAAAAAATGCTAAGATAGCACGGGGGGGACAAGAAAGACAAGGTGATAAACACCAGAAGGACAAGAAGTAATGCCCAAGCTCTGGAAAGTGCAAACTATGGAGAAACTAAAAGAAAATCAACATATGCAGGGTAAACAACTCAAAATTGAAAAAGCATGCTACCGAACAAATGCCAAATGCAGGCACCTCAAAACAGAGACAATAAAAGGTAGAAGATAAGCGAAATACCTGACGAAAGAGGTGAAATGGCAGGAGATGGAGAAATGCGTTTAACGCTGACTCTCTAAGAAATGCACAGGCACAATGCTCAGAAGGAAAACAAAAGCACGTAATGTGAGATGAAGAATTATATAGGCATGGCTAGTGATCTTGAGGTTTGCGAATGGCAAAGGTCAGGGTCACTAAGGTCTTTGCACGAGTAAGTAATAACTGCAACAATCGTGGGAGGTAACCGCAATCATCATGGGTGAAAACCACAGCACGCAGAAAGCCAAGGGGCAGGGTCATTACTGCCAATTCAGTTCAAAAGCAATGATTAGACAACTGAAACGATGCTGCAATAAATGCGCACGAAATGCGAAAATGGCATAGAACGGCTGCGGCACGCTAAAGCACGTGGGCGGCAGCACGTGGCAGAACGAAATGAGTACAAATCATAAACCAACAGATAAGACAGGATATATACATATGCAACCATTAACCGGGTTAGACACCTGACGCTTGGGGGAAACTCGCCAGTTGAACCACGACTACTAAAGCGCATCTGTTACCCGGTTACTACGTAAACTACCTCGTCGGGTTCATGTAAAACCCGTCGACCAAGTAACCAAAGGCATAAAGTCATACTCCAGTTAAGGTATGATGCTTGAGGGCAACCCGCCAGTTGGATTCCAACAACTTAAGCACATCCCTAACCCAGAGTAGGAACACGGTTGATGCTCAACCTGCCGATATAAGGAACAAGGAAAAATCGTCCTTGGCATAAGCCACGAACTCGGAATAAGCCTAAACGCTGACATTGAGGGACAACTCGACAGTTGGGTCCCAACTGCTCGAGACTACCCCCAATCCAGTAAAAAGGGATAAGAGAAATATCTCGCCGGGTTGATGCTCAGCCCGTCAAGATAAGGGGAAAGAGATACCTCACATAGAAAAAACTCGAAAAAACGAGAAACATTGCAAAGGTTTGAAAGTTGGCAAGAACGCAAACACGTTCAGGAACGCAAAGCCTGAAGGAACACACACATAAGTTCACCCCGGCAACCCAGATATCCAGGTAGCCTGGCTGAGGGGAAACTGTTATGGACCCATATAAAGGGCCCATTAAGTGATAGGCCCAACAAGGGGAAATCCAAAATTTCAATCAGTAATAATCATGGATAGATATCCATCAAGGATACTAATCCTAATACGACAACATAGCAAACAGGCCTGGGCCCTTACCAGAGGCACTAATGGCCCATCCACGCTACCCACAGGTAACCTCTATAAATACAAGGTAAACCCTAAAGATACGTTACGCTATCTCTCTTACTGTTATGATGTCACTGTGTGCACACACACACCTCAATTGGCTAACTCTGTTATAGTATTCTGTGCACAGTGATCTGCTTGACTCAAGTGTATCTTATTCATAGATACTTTGGAGAGGGCACTAGATCCAAAATAAACATTCCAGCCTATTGGGCTGGACATCTCCGTTCCATAGACAGAACAGTATTACATAACAAAATACTTTATTTAAGTAGTTTGTATTTGCATCATCTCGAATCGATATTCAAATTCAAGCATTCAAAATACAACTATATGTTGTACATTATTCTAATATTTATACGTGCTTGATCTACAAATTTAATATAAATTGTGTTAAAATAGAATAAAAATACTCATGATAGGTGTATGGAATATCGAAGCCACATGTATAGGATTAACAAAATAATTCATCTTTAAATTTAAGGCATATATTAAGGCCAATGATTTAGATAAATATGTTATATTAATAAAAATAAATATATACATAAAAGGTTTTTTTATATATAAGAAACAACATACAATTGAGTTCATCCTTGAAGAAGACACTGAACTCAATAACCATATAAGTATGGCAGTATCCCTGATGAAAAATTATGACAACTAATTATTAATACATATTAATTATTGAAACGACATTGTTCAAAAAGAGGTAAAACATTCATGTTCAGATGAATTTGAGTCGTCACAAGGAGAGTGATTGTGTCTGCCTTCGTAGGTAGTTATCACCATACGACAATCTTCTGAGAGTCGTTCAACTCTTTTCTTCACCCTACAGTTGTTATGGGTGCAACGATAATAACTTCTGCCATATTCGAAAATTGAGATGTCTTGGATGAGAATAACATATAAATATAGATAATAATAGAGATATGACTAATACCTAAACACATGCAATAATAATAATTTTAAAAAATAATTAAAAATATGTGAAAAGCTCACATCAACAAATTTAATTATACTGCATTTTGTTTTCTAAAAAACTGTAATTTCATTGAGTTATGCCACAAGGGAGAAAATAAAAAAATACCAGATACCCCCTCTCTCCCTCCCCCCACCACACATACATTGTGCCGTGACCTTTTCTATGTATGTAATCCTTTCATATTTTATATCTTAGAATAAAATCATCATTAAATATTCCTTCTTCTTTTTCTCCTCTTGCTTTGCCTATATTTAGTCCTAAAAATAATAGCCAATAAAATGTGAATGTATAAAGAATTCTAAATTTTTGTTTACTTTATTTCTTGTCCTTTATATTAGTTTAGAATTGTATAATCCAATATACTAAATACACGAATCTGTAAGGTGATTTAATACATAAGACAATTGACCTCTTAAAAATTCGAACTCTCTTTATCTTTTTCATTTTAAAAAGTTATTTGAAGTTACCCCTTTACCTCAAAGAAAACATATTTTCTAGTTTATTCTATATATATGCACCTTCAAAACATTAACATGAAAAATACAATACACATACTTTAACATACGAGTGAATTAACATAATGTAAATAAATGTGAATTTGTTTTTGGATAAATCACATGTATCCTCCAAAAGGAGCAATTCTGTTCAAGCCACACAATAAATGAGAACATTTTACCCACATAGTTTGTCTTAAACAAGTAGTAAATAATTTTTAAGCTTTTAATGTATTAAATATTTCACTTTTTATTTAACTATATCTTATTTATATATTATAACCAATATTCTAAACACACCCTGTTAGCAAATTCCTAATATTTATACACGTATCAATTACTTAATCTGTATTCACTTGGCACAATGCTATCTAAATAAATTGACATGAAACAAAAACAAAATGCAAATATGCTTTTATTATAGTTATGGACAAAGTGAGTCAAAAAGATCTTTTTACCAGAAACTATCGTATCTCACTTTAGTTCCCTTTCCTTATTAATCTAAATTAAATATTTATCAAGTTTGGTGCTGCATCTCTTCATAATAAAAGTTATCGGTTGTTAAACAATACCTTTCAGTCTCAGACGAGTCCCATCGTTATTGTTTACACTTTCAAGCACTGGCCAGTTAATGTTCCATTGTTCCCTATGTACCATAAGTGATCATTCCAATAACTTTTTCATCTTCCTAATTCCACTTCCATGTACATAGCTTTAAGAACAATCTTGTAGTGATGGTCTACAACTGAAGCAAATTGACCAGCACTTTCTTAGGTTAATGACAATGGATATACCACTTTAACGACCTTGCATTGGTTCATTAAGTACCTCAAAACTTTCTTGCCATGCACGCAACATTAACATACACATGACATATGTGTTTTGGGTGTAATGGTCTGTCGGTTATCAACATGTTTTTCTTTCTCTAAATTATTATTTTCCTTCAGTCTAAGTAACTTTGGTTTTCATCATACTACTGTATTTGTATAATTTAGCATGTTTCCTATCCTAAATCCTCCATAAACAGTGTGGTTTACGCTCTCCAAGGAACCAATTAAAAATTATATAAGGGTGCTATTAAGTGATAGATAGTTATCAAATTTTTATGCCCTATGTTTATATAAACTTAGGTGTTTACTGATTTCTGGTTATGATATATTATTAAACATGAAATTGGTTCTTAAATTATACGTCTTGAATGGATTTAGTTCCTGAACATATCACGTATATTAAAGATTTATTAAGTTTATTCTTTCAAAAGTTTGGAAGCCCAACTTGTTAGCTTTTAACATATATAATTCAGTGAGCAACTTATATGAAGAGAGAGACCAGTAAGTTAGACTTTTAATAATAAATTGTTGCAGAACAAATTAGTGAATCACATAAATCTAGAAAACAAACTGAACTAATATTTGTAAGTAAGAGACCAAATTAGTCATATGTTTAAGCGTAAATTGATCATGATAAATGAGCATGACAAGTTATTGAAATCTTGAATTTTTGATTGGTTGAAGACTTGAAGTAGCTCTAAGCCTCTAATACTATATCAATAACCAAATTCTTTCAAAATTTACCCTTTTATTAGGTATAAACATGAGAACCTTCTTTTCCAAAAAAAAAATGAAAAATAAAAAGGAGTAATTGTTTTCACTCGTGGTTTTCTTAACTAAATGATTACATGCAACATTTATTTAAGAAACTAATATAATTAAATTGTTTTACAACCCCGTACAACTACATCTATACAATGTGAAAGATACTTGCATGTATGTAGTTCAATTTGAGTTATCTGTTACTGTAGAAAATGATAAAACAAGCACATCCAGGTAGATAGATAGTTTAACCCTATGTATTGCGTAGGAAAATTCTTCACATGCCTCTTTCATTCAAACAGAATTATCATTATCCAGAACAATTAATAACACGTGTGTATACCCTTGTTCTATTATTTAAGATCCACACACATCACGTTAAAAAATTTAAGGAATTAAAGAAATTTCAAAATCATTTATAATTATGAATTTCGGATAACTAGAAGCATAGGATATGTATTAATGTCATTTTCTCTTAACCTATGGTAGTCATATAGCAGAGGTTAGAAATGTAATGAAAATGATATTTATGGATAGGTCAGTCTAAAAAGCTTTACAAAATGGCAGCCTACTCGTTGAACCCTAACTAGAGATTTTGCTGCAAAATATGTTTCATGATACCCTCAGATTTTGGTTTAGATTTGATAGTTTTAAAAGGTGTAAAAGCCAATCTATTCATTTATGCATGCAGACAAGGAGGATTGCTGGTTGAACTCTTTAGACCCTCACAAGGAGGGAATTGAGGTGAAAGAGTTGAAATTAATGATCATTATCTAATTAACAATGAGGGCATTTAACTAGAATATCTTTTAATTTTCTTGTGAATTTACGTTGATTAATGATGCACATCTTGCAAATAGATGCATAAAATGCATGCACAATTCTATTAACGTCTAAATCATCTCTCCAATTTTGTTATTCATAAAAAATTAACATGTTATTATATTAACCTTTTAAAAAAATTTAAAGTAGGATAAAAGGTATACTACTGTTTTGTTTTTTAAGAGTTAATCCATTAAAAATTAATGTGTCACTATATTAATCTTTTAAAGATTTTTGTAACAAACTTAGTCTCTCAAAGATTAACATGTCACTACAGTATGAGTCCTTTTAAAAAATTTGTTACGACACTACTCCCTTGAAAAATCTAGAATTTCACCATATTCATTCTTATAGAAGCTTATGATTAAAAAAGACAAAGTTAGTAAATATTCTGTATATTTAAGGGATTAATTTGTTGACAAAAAACTTTGGAGGATTAATGTTGTAATGTTGTGATACCTAGTCTTTTAAAAACTAATTTTGTGACTAAAAACTTCGAAAGACCAATGTGGTGTCACAAATCACTATGTCAGTTATCGGCCGATGCTAAATGGATTGATATTCATAACATTTGATTGTGTTAATTACATCCTAATTAAATAGTCATGATGGACAACATTGAGTAATAAATGAAATATTCTCATATGATGTGTAAGGAAGTTGTGTGAATGTTACACAATGGAAGCTATATATAGATTAAATTCCGGGAAAAACTATTCTCATGTTGTATGAGATAAATTTTTTCTCCTATACAACTTTCGATAGCTGTGTCACATTTTTTTTTTTTTTCAAGTGGTGGAGCCCACAAGTTCCCTTAAGTAAATCTGGTTGTAAGAGAATATAATAAGGCCAAACAAGAAAAAGAAAGAATAGGAAATCAAACATTAAAACCAGATTAGTATATCTATTTGATGAAAAAAAAAAAAAAAAAGGCCCCAGAACTTAGACATTTTTTCACATTTTAGCCACAACAAATTGGATTAAAAAAACTTATGTAAATGTTATTGAGTTGCTATGAAAAAACTTTAGGTGCAAGTGAAGCCTTTTCAGTGATGGATGAATGCGTGGAAGAAGTTCGTAAGACAAATACCTTGTGAATGGGATGGTTTGGGAACAGAGGACGAAAGTGGGGCCCTATAGTGTGCTCTATTGTCAAAACTCTAATAATAATCCACTAAATATTCTCACCAATATCTCTTTTTCTTTTTTCTTTTTTTCCAATCGATATTTTATATAATGATAAGCCTAAGACTCAGTCTGTACCATCAATCTTCTCTACTCAGAAGTCCATTGAAAATAAACACCTTGAATGATTCCTTCAGTTTTTGCTGAAAATTCTTTCTCTCTCTCACTCTTTGCCTGAGTTTTTTTCAATCTACATTGTTTCAAACAAAACCTAAGATAAAATACACCTGGATCACCGACACCCATTTTGTTTTTTTTAATTTTTTTTCACCAAAAAAGACATTTCACCTTCATTTCTCCGGATATAATGCCAATGATGTAGCCAGTGCACTCAATTATAGATTTAACATTAGCATTTGACATTTAAATGTTAAAAATACGAAGAAAAAGCTTATATCTACAAATTTATAATCACAATTAATCCCTTTAGTTTTCTCATTAACATATCAAAGAGCTTGCAAAATTGAGAAAATATAATCAAGAAAGTAAAGGTTACATAAGGTTGAAGGATTACCTTGGATGAAGGCTATTCTTGACAACCTTCTGACCATACTTCCTCCATTTGTAACCATCATCAAGCACATCCACATCACTTCTTGTTTGGAAACAAAACCTTGGCTCTCTAAGCTTCCTCCTCATTTTCACTTTGCTCTTCTCTGAGCTTGCACTCCTCCACCTAACATATTACACAGAGATTAAGTCATGAATTTTATTTTTTTTTAATAATTTCAAGTTCTTACTCCTCAGAGTACTCTTTTTCGATTAAACAGCTTTCTGAGTTTATTAATGTTCCTTAAAAATAAAAATAAAAATAAAATGAATATGAAAACAAAAATAAATAAAAAAATAGAAAAGTGATAATCTATGGGAGAGAATATGTGAAGTGAGTGATGTACTACTGGATTCGAGTATCAATGAGTATCAAGACTTTTGAGTCCCTATAGCTCTTGCTCCTCATAACCCAAGAGAGAAATAGGGGTTATAATAAGATAAAAGAAGCAGTCCCTTCAATATATGGCTAGAGATCTTCATATTCTTCACAGAAGCCTAGACAATATCTTTTAATTTAGGGTATCAAAACAAATACTTACGTGCATGCACTGTGAGAGAGAGAGAGAGAGAGATTGAAATTGAAAAACTGAAGTTGAAAGAAGAATATACCATGTGTTGTTGCCATCACTAGTATTTCCAGTGCAATTTTCATCATTAATAGCCTTATTGGGATCCAGAGTTCGCACCTGAAGGTTCATGATACCATCCATATAATAAGCAAATCGTTTTAATGACTAGCTATAGATGAAAAAATACCCTAAAATTGAAAGGGACATAGTAACAACAAATAAATTAAATAAATACACCAAAAGAAATAAATTTATAAGGTTGCAGGTTATTGTTATAACTTTAATCAATGATTTGCAATAGATATTACTATATCAAAGTAATTAAACAACCTGTTCGTTATTCCAAGAAGTTCTGCTAACAAGGTCATTACGGCTGAAACCTATGGTTGCGGTAGTTGGGGCGGCGGCGGCTGTAGCGACGGTACTGCCGCTGCCGCTACCAGCGTTTAGAGATTGAGAGAGCTGAGAAGATTGGGATTGTGAAGAGGTTGCCAAGAAACTAAAAACCTGGTTTTCTTCAAATTGAACAAAACCCATTTCATGAATGGCTTGAGGGGTGCTTGTGAATGAAACTTGAAGCTCATAATTGGGAACACCTCTCTCACCTTCCATACCCCTTTCTTTTGATAATTCGAAATTGGATTTGAACACAAATTCTACGCCATATGTAACTTTAGAGAATACAAAAAAGAGGGTGATTCAAAAGTGTGTAGTTTGGTCAACTATTAGCTGAATGCTTGCCAATTAAATTCTGAAGGGAATGTTTCTTGTGAATTATTAATTCCTTCCCCTCTTCTTAAGGCAGTCTAGTCAAGCCTTGTACACACACTCTTTCTCTCTCTTATTTACACGTGCATTGTCCTACAAGTGTTTTTCATTGGTATCTATCTCGACAAGTGACAAAAGAATGAAACTAGGTACTGTTGTTTTATATGAAAATGTTTGTTACAGATCAATTTGCTAATGCCTGCAGCTTTATACTCATTAAGGATGAATAATTTTATTTTTTTCATCAATTTACCAAAAACTCGACTAATTCGATTCGAGCGGTGTCAGATCAAGGCACCGCTCGGATGTATAATTATTTTATTATTGGATTCATATTAAAAGCAGCTTTCTTAACATCATTTTTTTCATTTCCAACTTCAACTTAAATGCAAAGTTTTTTAGTTTGTGAATATTGTTTTGATAATGGGCTAATAATCCACTATTACTAAAGAATTAGTATAAAAAAATGTGCAAATTCTGCTGGGTAGATATCAATTTTTTTAATATTTGTGTAAAATGAAACTGTTATTTTTATTCAAAAAAAATTACACATAAAAAGGTTACACCATTTTTTCATTTATTTTATTTGAGAAAAAAAGGTTAAAAAAATGTTGAAGAGTTTTTTTTTTTATTCTGTCAATTAAACCAATTAGATGACACATATGAATTATAAAAACAACACACATTAAATAACAGATATATAAAGATTTCATGAAATGTAAAATATATCGAAAAAAATTGTGGCTAATTAGTTTAAACAGATTAATTGACACAAACTAATATAATTTTGACTAGAACATCAAGAAAACAATTATTATTCTATAATGTTAGCATCATTGAAACAATATATATATATATATATATATATATATATATATATATATATATGAGTTTAATATTTCTCATATTTTAGTAGATAAATTTTATTTACTACACACGCATGGACTCATATTTTCTCATTATCTCTCTTCTTCTCACATTGGCTCGCATGGACCCCACACACTTTGATATATGTATAAGAGATAAAATCATCTCTAGAAAAACATTAATGCAATTCTTACTTTTGTTTGAATTTGAATAGCATTACTAACACTAATAAAATTATTGCATGAATTCTCTATAGCGCTTTTAGCTATGATTTCTTTTTGGAAGGTTCCAGCTAGGTAAAAATTAACAAAATAGAAAATTACATTTTACCATATATATCATGATTTTGTTTTAATTGTAATTTCTCCCTAACCTGTCATCCACTATTACAACATCCTTTTTTTTTTTTTTGTCTTTAGCTAGGATATTAATTCCTATATCTATTGCTGCGAAAGTGACTCCTCCAGCGAGATCCTGGAAGTGGGACTCATATACCACTGTACCCAACCTTTGGTAGTTTATTTATATTATTTTTTTAATCTAAAGTTCATGATTAATTTTTATTTCATTTTTTATTTTTTGGGGTTAAGATTTCCACAATGTGATAGACAAAGATAAAATGACTCATTTTTTATAGATAAAAGATGAAATATAATTGGACACAAAAATTAAGTTGACAAAGTTCAATTTCCTTTTCAACAAATGTCCAGTGTCTGATAGAAATTAAGAAAATGGAACAAATGTAATGGAATTTGATATTCATAAATATTTTTCATCCGTGATTGTTAAGTTAATAATTGATATCTTGGTTGATTTCTCTTTCAAACATTCAATAATTGTGGGTGTCTTCTTAGTTACTCTTTCACAAAATCCAAATGGATGGTAGACAATTTGTAATTCTACAATAAATCTTTGCTAATATTACTTGTTTGCCTTGGTTTTGAAATAAGAAGAGTTGTCCTTCACCTCACCCTAAGCACCCCCCCCCCCCCCCCCCCCCCCCCCCCCCCCCCCCCCCCCACACCAAAAAAGAAGAAGAAGGAAGCTTAGATTTATGTTAGCAAAACAACGAGAATAAGGGTGTTCATTAGCTTTCATTTGCAACCTAGTATCCCACAATTGTACGTGTTATCTCGAACAATAATCACACTATTGCATTGATTGAAGAATAACTTGTTATTATGCAGCAGTACCACATTAACACGCAATTCCTTGTCATCATTATCAATTACTAATCATAAATTATTTGAGCCCTTCGTGGTTTCACAAGGTTCATTAATGTAACGTAATTTTCATCAAAATGATATGAAAAGATCAGAGTTTCAAATATATACGTGTTGTTTCTTGAAAAGATTGGTTATGGGTATATGATAAAGGGAAAAGTTCAAAAAAAATAAAAAATAAAAAAATCTTATGGTATTACTTTAAATTACTTATATCCCTATACTTTTTTTAACCACTTAACTCCTTGGATTTTTTTTATCGATACTCATCCTTAACACTATTAGAAATTTGACTAAATATATTTCCAAAAAAAAAAAAAAAAATTTGACTAAATACACTTTCTTTGCCCTTCTTAGAAGAAGAAAATAAAATGATAAAAAAAACGAAATGATATGTAATCTTAGAACACTTAATAAAAGACTAAAAGAAAAAAGATCAAATGTGTCTAAATAAAAAAATAGAATATGGAAAAAATAAAAGAAAAAATAGAACAAATATGTTAAAAATCACTACAGTGACATAAAAGATTAAAATTTTAGAAAAAATAGTCTAAATGAAATATATATATATATATATATATATATATATATATATATATATATATATATATATGAGGTAGAATTAATTGACAGTTGACACCAGTGTAAAATCTAAAGTTTGACACCTCATCTGAGAGCCATTAGATCAAAAAGATCAACGACTCTGATTTGTAAGCATGTGACACCATTGATCTTTTTTGATCTAATGGCTCTCAGATGAGGTGTCAAACTTCAAATTTGACACAGGTGTCAAAGGATCCTACCTCTATCTATATATATATATATATATATATATATATATATATATATATATATATTAAAGACAAAAAATAGAAGAAAATTTTAAGATTAAAAATAAAAGAAAAAGTAATAGAACAAAAAGAAATTATGGTTATGAATTTTGAATATATTTGGTTTTATTTTTTATTTTTATTTTTCCTTGGTATAGTTTATTATTATTTTTATATGTTTGGTCTTTTTTATATCTCTGTTAGTCTATTTCTCTCTCTCTCTCTCTAAATTTTTTAACGAAAATATTTAGTAGACGGGGTGGCACAAGGCTAACAAAAAAATCAAGAATAAAATCAGAATAATATATACAAAAAGTGAAAAAAAATAAAAATAGAAAAAGAATCAAACATATCTAAATAAAAAAGAATAAAATAGACCAAGTACAAAAAAAAACAATTAAACCAAATATATTGGAAACTTATAATTATGATTTTTTTTATTCTATTTTTTTATCTTAATTTTTTCTTCTATTTTTTGTCTTCAGTATATTTTTTTTTTCATTTGAACTATTTTCATATTTTTTTAAAATTTTAATCTTTTTTGACACTGTTGTGATTTTTAACATATTTGGTCTTATTTTTTCTTCTATTTTTTGTCCTTATTCTATTTTCTTTTTTTATTTAGACACATTTGATTTTTTTTTATTTCTCTTTTAGTCTTTTATTAAGTGTTCTAAGTTTTCATAACATTTGGTATAATTTTTTTTATCACTTTACTTTTTGCTTCTGTAAGAACCAGCACCGTTAATTAAGGAAGTTAATTAATTAATTATGTGAAATTAAGAAATAATTCCATAATTTACCCTAATAATTATGAGAAGGCTTAAATAATAATGGTAAGTAATTAATATTGCTGAAAGTCACTTTTCTGACGAAAAATGCAGATACCAATTCTGCTACTCGATATAAATGTGTACCGATGAAGTATCCCGGAAAATTATAATAAGTGTGGTAATATTCCTAGAATAATATATAGGACTAGTAAAACGAGTTTCAGGTTAAAATAATGAGAACTAGTGCCAGAACTGATACTGGCTATGGAAAAGCGCGTACCGAAAAGGTGCTGCAAAAAATAAAATAAAAATATGGAAAATCTTAAAAAAATGAGTAGGTTTAGATTCCAAAGTTTGGGATTAAATTGCTAAGCGTAGCAATTAGCGCTAATACAGTGCGATTAAATTTAAACCGGCTATAAATACAAACTTGGACTAAAACTTAGGCCATATTTCAGCCTTCTACATGCCTCATTGCTGAAGCTTGTGTTCTCCATCAGCCACCATCTTCCTCCCTGCACTTGAGAGCCAAGAGACCATCTTTTTTCTTGGTTCCTTCATCAAACCTCCTTGTGTGTGTGAGATAAAGCCTTGGGGGTGGTTTAGAGGTCTTGTTTCTGAACCTTGGGTCTATGTTTAGGAGTTTAAGGTGCTGTATTTTCTGAGTTGTGAGGGTGAAGCCATTGTCTTGGCATTTTGAAGTCCAAGGAGTGATCTTTGATGAGAAAGAACCAACCTTGGTGTGCCATTTTTGTTTGCCTTCAAGTCAGAACTGTAGAGGCAGTATGGTGAGCTCCAAGAGCCATTGTTGCTCTGTTTGAACCTTGGGTAAGTGTTACCAACCTTTTATCTTGAGTTTTATGGTTAAATCTTGAGTCTTGGCATGTAATACGTTAAAATGAAGTAACCAACCTGAACATGAATCTGAAAGTCTATAAAAATGCAAGCTTGGATGTTGGAATGGGTTAAAAATCCAACCTTGGAAGTCATATATCGCGAAATGCAGAAACTGCATTCTGTCGCGAAATATCCGAATATGGATATCCGGATATTGATATCCGGATATGGGCTTTGAGATATCCTAATATGGATATCCGGATATGGGATATCTGGATATGGATATCTGGATATGGGATATCCTGATATGATATCCGGATATGCATATTCGGATATGATATCCGGATATGGGATATCAGGATATGTCCCCGACATATATCCGGATATTCTGGAAATTTCGGAACAGTAAAGGTACTGTTCATACAGATTGTCATTTTGGGTTTGAGGACCCATAATTGGCTTATGTGTACTTC